CTCTTCTTCCTTCGTGCTGCACCTCTCTCGGTGGCCTTTGTCTTCTTGGCCTCCTCCGCGGTGCTCTTCGCGTCTCACCCTTCGTCGTTGTTCGTCGAAGTGCAAAGTGCGCGGGTGTGCTTCGGACTGTAGAGGATGTATATCACCTTCTAACCCAAAACAAAGATGAAAGAAAAAAAAAATTAATGAAAATGGCTAGAAAACGGTTTTACTAAACTGGTTTTCTGAATTACATAATCACCTTCTAACCCAAAACAAAGACAAAAGAAAAAAAAATAAAAAAGTTAAATGAAAACGGCTTTAATAAAGCCAAAAAAAATTTATGAATTACACTTTCTAACCCAAAACAAAGACAAAAGGGAAAAAATTTTTTACATGAAAACGGCTTTAGTAAAGCCAAAATTTTTTTTTGAATTACACCTTCTAACCCAAAACAAAGAGAAAAGAAAAAAAAAATTAACATGAAAACGGCTTTAGTAAAGCCAAAAAAAATTTCTGAATTACATTATTACGTTCTAACCCAAAACAAAGACAAAAGAAAAAAATTTATATGAAAACGGCTTTAATGAAGGCGTATTAGAAAACGGTTTTTGTAAACCCGTTTTCTGAATTACATTATCACCAAAACAAAGACAACAGAAAGAAAGAAAAAAAGAAGGAAGGAAAAAAAAATTACATGAAAACGGCTTTAGGAAAGCCGTATTAGAAAACGATTTCAGTAAACCCATTTTCTGAATTACATTATCACCAAAACAAAGACAACAGTAGAAAAAAAAAATACATGAAACAACTTTAAGAAAGTCGTATTAGAAAACAGTTTTAGTAAACCCGTTTTTTGAATTATATTATTTTGTGACAATTTATATTTATGTTGAAAAATATAAATTGGGAAAAAAATTACTAAAAAACGGTTTTACAATACTGTTTTATATAAACACAAAATTAATTACACATTAATTAAAAACGGTTTTTCTAAAGCCGTTTATATGAAGGAAATTTTTATTATTTTTTTATTCATCAAAAAACGGCAATGGCAAAATCATTTTGAAGAAAAGGGCAATGGTAGAACCGTTTCACCCTATATTGGAAATAAAATAAAAAACATACCCAAATAAAAAACACACCCAAGAGCGGGATTAAAATATTGAGAATGTAGCCAGGTAAATTGGCCCAACTAGCAGTTCCAGATGGGAGAGCAGGGAATTTGTTATGATGGAGAGAGTTGGAGTGAGGAGTGGGTTTTTATAGGGTGGAAAGGGGTTAGTTACTTCAATTGATTTGGACAAAAAATAATAAACAAATTTCATGGACCCATGTGAGCCGTTGGGATTTTAGCTGGGAGATCAGGAACAGGATTTGGGGTAATTATTTAATAATGCCGGAACATCACATAATCATATTTTAATTCAATCACCAATTACTTAGGTCCCGTTTGGGGACTTACCTTTTTAGTCAATTATCCAAAAAATTATTAAATTAGCCAAAAAGTCAACAACTCATAACAAAAAGTCAAAGATTCTCTTTTCTCTCTACTTTTTGCACATCTTTTCGTAATTAGCTAAAAAGTCATCACAAACATATAAGTTTTTTTTACTTACATTTTTAGCCAAATAGCCAAAAAATTACTAAATTAGCCTGTTCCCAAACAAGGCCTTAGTCTCTATATTGTTCTTCATCCCCAACATTAATCGTGGACCCCTACCCCTCTCTACCAATCAAAATCTTATGAAGTATCACGTGTTCATACTCCGAAAATACTGAATAATCACCCCCAAGATTTGACAAAATTTTTGGAAGGATTTACGTGTAGGTCCTAATAAGTGGATTTATTATCCAATAGATCTTGTGAGAAACAATAGACTTTTTCATTAAACATTATTAAAAAATATCACTAATTATTAATTTTCAACGATATTTTAAAAATTTTGTCACAAAAAATGTTTCTAATTATAAGTTTAGCGACAATTTAAAAAAATCATCATAATAAAACATTACTAAGTTTTAACTTTTAGTAACAATTTGAAAAATTCGTTATCGAAAGTATCACTAATTGTATGTTTTAGAGACAATTTATAAAAATCGTGATAAAAAAATTTACTAATTATCAATTTTTAGCAATATATACAAAAAATAATTACAAAAATTATTTTTAATAATAATTTTACTAGAACTTAATTTTAATAAAAATTGATAAAAATTAAATTCAATTATTAAAACCTATTAATAGTTGATCCAAATTTTTGGCTGCTTATGTATATGGTGGAGAATGTAAACACTAGAAATCATATTAAAATTAGACTACACTTTCTTCGTGTTTTGTCAAATTGGTCGTACTCAACCTTAAAGGACACAGTCACGCTTTCCAATATATATGCCTCCATCTTTTGTTAAATTTTTTTTACTCCCTCCGTTCTAAAATAATAATTTTTTAAAAAAATTTAATTTTTTTTATAGTATAATTATTGTATTTAAAAAAAATTAATTTTCTAAAATTACCGTTTGATAGTATATTTTTTTTGAAAAATATCAATGTCATAACTGTACTTTTTATGTTGTTAATAAATTTAAAAGAATGACAAAATGAAAAATTTATATTATATTTGTACTTGATTTTTAAAAAGAGACTAATATTTTAAAACAATGAAAAATAAAATAAAAAATTAATATTTTGAAACGGAGGGAGTATAAGATTGTTGATCTGCATCTTGTATTTTTGGTAAGTAATCATTTTATTTAAAAAGAAAAAAAATAATAAAAATATATAACAAAGCTTAAAACACATGTTCAAAAAAACACACATGGACATGGTTAATACATGGACTCACTACCGCACAGTCCGAGAGGATATGCCAATTAAAAAAAATCCTTTCGACTATTTTTTTTGTTTTGGATTTATTACACCTTTTACTTCTTAACTATCGTTAAGTTGTTTACTTAGCTTCTGAACTATCAATTGAGCCTACTAATTTGTTTACTAGGTTAAGTACTAGCAGATGATTTGGCTTGTTTTTTGGTGCCAACCTAATTGGAATCGACGAGTTTTAACTGTGATGCTTGGTGCACTTGGTTTTACTTTTCTCTTTTTTTTTTAATCAGCAAAAATAAATTTTATTGATGAGATTAAAGGGATACAACCTCACATCAAATATCAATAAAGATAAGACCAAACTTTAGTAGAAAGGATGCTATAAGCATCATAGCGAAAATAATCATTCAAACTATATTAACACCATTAAAAATACCCAATCATCTTCAGCACCCACAACCGTGGTTAAAGAGCATTCAACCAAAGTTAATACAAGAGAAAAAACATCCAAGCCAAAATAGGAACAGACCAACACCCTTGCTGTCATCAATGACATCTCACTTCTGCTAAATTGAAAACCAAATCATTCACTGAGTAGACCACATCCTTATACTTATGTCTCACCCAAATTGCAATTCTAATTTTGATAAGCTCCACCAAAGATTCCCATTTAACTTGAATCCCACTAAAGTTGAGATCATTTCTTACTTTTCATATTGACCACACCACTGCACAGGGAATGGCCTCCCACATCTTTTCTAGTATGACAAATTTAAATCCAGACTACCAAAGAAACAGGTCACAGATTGAGCCTGGTGTGGCCCAGCAAAGACCCCACCACTCTAGTAACTCAGCCCATAATCTCCAAACCAAAGGGCAATGAAGAAATAAATGGTTCTCTGTTTCATCAGCTTCATTACAAAATAGGCACAGCAGATCTGTGTTTGAATGAATCACAACCATGTCTCTTAACCTCACAGCGGTCTTCACTTTATTCTTCCACACCATCCAACCAAAACATTGGACCTTAATGGGTGCAAAACATTGGATCTTCTTTATTGATGTGTGTAAACGTAATGTTATGTATATGTTTTTTTCATTAATAAAGTGTTATTTCTGTTGATTAAAAAAAAAAGTCTCTAAAATATATAAATTAAAGTCTATTTATTTTCTAAACTATCGGTTGAATCTATTAAGTTCCTAAAGTATTTAATTCAAGGGAAAATTACCAGAAAATCCTATTTTAGATTTTTTTATACCAATCAATCCATACTTTTTATTTTTATTTTATTAAATCCTAAAGTTTATACTTTTAGACCCGGAGGTCCTATTTTCAGTTTTATTATATATTTTTTTGACCATTTTACCCTTATATATATAGGTGCTTGTTTGAATATGATTTTCGGAAAGTCAGCGATCTGCGTTTGGGTTCCGGATTCTTTGCAATTTCTGTCCTTGCCATTTTCGATTTTCGATTTCATAGTTTCTGAAGCTATAGATTGGGCGCGATTTTGCGATTATTAAAGCTCTAGGTTTTGCGCGATTCGCAATTTCTGGTTTGTCTTTGCGATTTTCGATTTGCGATTTTGTCCGATATTCTGGAGAAGGTTAGTTTTTGTTTGAGATTGGTGTTTTGATTTGTTCTATTCTTCATTGTTGTTCGTCATCAATTTTGTTCTTCATTGTTCTGTTCTGTCATTCTTCTTCGTTTATCATCAATTTTGTTCTTCGTTGTTCTTCGTCGTTCTTCATCGTTTGTCATCAATTGATTACGGTGATGTTTATGTCATGCGATTACTGATTGATTCGTTATTGTAATGAAATCATTGTGTTCATGTGAAATTTTGAATGATGAAGTTTTGTTGCATCAGTGTTTGAACAAACTGTTGTTAAGCATTTAGTGAACTGGAAGTTCACGCTATCAGTATATAAATTTTATAATTAAAATTGTATGTATGTGTGTATACTGTGAGCTGAAAATTTGTTGTATATGGTGTGTATGATGATAAATGTAGGGCTTATGATTGTTTGTTGAGGAGGTAGAGTTTTTTTTTTTTTATGACGTAAATATTTGAACTATTTAAAAATCCTTATACATTTCATTGTGTTAGCAAATCTTCACACATATGAATGTGATTGAATATTCAAATTATTTTATGTAATATTGATGATTTTGCAGTGTGATACGAGACAAATGGATTTTTTGATGTTGTTGTTGTGCTACTATGGGTCAAACATGTTTGTGATAAATGTGGTAAAATCATTTTCCTTTGACGAGTTAGTGAAATGTGTGTGCAACAAATGGTGTGATTTGTTTGCTGATTCAATCACTATGTTTTACCGACTGCCGGGGTATACAAATTGTCATTTGCATAACAATGAGGAATTGCAAAACAAGCTATTGCTTGGTAAATCAATTGGAGTTGAACGAATTGATGTTGTTGTTGAGCAAAAATTGGGCACTGATAGACATAGTAGTTTAGTAAATCCATGCATTGAAGATGAGGATCAAACAAATTTGCTCCGTAGATATTGTGCACACAGTGAGAAGGTTTTGTTGTCTTCAGTTTGGGCAAATGGTATTACGCATGTTGGTCAATGTTTCACAGGAGGAGCATTTGAGTTTCGTACTATTTTATGTAAATATGCAGTGCAATGTGGGTTTAAATTCAAATATTTGAAGAATGATTCACAGCGAATTACTACTGTATGCTCACATAGAGATGATAGGGGATGTTTGTGGTCTGTGCATGGTAGAGTCCAAAGAGCAAACCAATTTTTCTACCTTAAGAGATGGACTAAGATACATAGTTGTGATGCTGATGTTTGTACTTCAAAAAATCCAAGGCTCAGCTCTGATTTGGTGTCAAATGTTGTGTCTGAGCGTGTTAGGGACAGACTACTAACGCGTCCCACTGATGTGGCATATAGTTTCAAGGCAGACTATGGACTTGATATCAGCTACCATGTAGCATGGTTAGATGTTGAGAAAGCGAGAGAGGCTATGCATGGTGATTACTTAACATCGTTTGACCAACTGAGATGGTGTGGTGATGCTGTTCAACATTATAATCCTAGAAGTCATATCAATATTGACTATGATTTGAAGACTAGTCAATTTAAAAGATTTTTTGTAGCATTTGCTGCGTGCATAAATGGCTTCAAATATTGTCACCCTTTACTTTTTCTTGATGGAACATTTCTAAAAGGGAGATACAAAGGGCAGTTATAACGATCCCAATTGTCCCTTTACTGTTCTGTTGTATTCCGGACTCAGTTCCGTGGAGTTGGTAGTTGTATCTATCTTGTTGTCATCCTTTAATTCCATTTGTTCGGGATTTAGGATGTTTTGGGTAGAGTTGTTACAGGTTGGTTAGGCTTTGGTTTCAATTCCTTGTTGCCTAGTTTTTAGGAGGTCCGCTCGAGCGGGTCTTCTTGCGCTCGAGCGGATATTGCACGCTCCCAGTATTTTGGTGCTCTGCAGAACTTCTGCAGGCATGTTTCTCACGCTCGAGCGGGTTTCTTTGCGCTCGAGCGGTGGCGCTCGAGCGGGTAGTACCTTTTGGTATAAGTTCTGGGAGGGGAAAATCTACGCTCGAGCGAACTAGTTTTCGCGCTCGAGCGGATGTACTTTATTCTTGTGTCTTGGCGCTCGAGCGGGCCTTCTTGCGCTCGAGCGTACCTAGTTTTTTGTTCTTGACGCTCGAGCGTTGTGTTCTCCGCTCGAGCGGGAATATCGTATATCAGTTGGCAGCTGGGCGTTTTAAATTCACTTTTTACTTTCTCTCTCTCTCTCTTACTTTCTAAAAAGTCATTTTGAGAGTTCCTCTCTCTAGAAACTCCCTTCTCTCTAGGGTTTGATCTAGTTAGAGTGCTTCCCTTCCCTTCGGCCTTTGTAAGAATTAGGTTGATCGTCGAAGGCTACGTTTTGATCCGAGTGTATTGAGTTTTGGAGCACGTTGAGTTTCTTCATCTTCTTTCCTTGAGCTCCGAATTTGAGGTAGGGATTCCTACTCACTCTTATGGGTTTTAACCTAGATTTTGAGCTCATTGTTTAAATTGTTGATTTTGGGACTTAGGGTTTCAAAATGTGTTAAAGTGGGTTTGTGATTTTGGGCTCATAATATGTATTTTGGGTTTCAAAATGATGATATAGTTGTTGGTTGGTGATATTTGAACCTTTGAGTTGATATTAAGAGTTGGGGGAAAAAGCTCTAATTTGCTGTTTAAATTAATTGGTATAATTAACTTGGGAAAATTGTAGCTATATGGAATTGAGTTGGAAATAATGAAATTTGTTCATTATATGGTAGAATAGTGGAGTTAGATTTATTAATCGCTCATTTTTGAAAACATTGATATTTTATGTGTTGGAGCTTTTATTATCTGTTTAGAAATAATTGCTTGAGCTACCGGTGGAGGGTAGTTTTGATTGTTGTAGACAATGCATGATGATTAGGCAAACTAAAACTAATCAATTGGATATGTCATAGAGTATGACGGTTGGTAGAATACATTAACATTATGTATTGATTGATTGTGTATATAACCTTTGTGTATATACGTTGTGTGTGTGGGAGGAGATAGAGGATGTACTCCATGGTTTAGGGGAAGATAGGGAAAGGACCTCTAAACCGGATGTTGTTTGGGAGAAGATAGGGGATGGACTCCACTGATACAGCTCATATGCTTGTCAGATAATGTGTTGATACAACTCATATGCTTATCTTTGGAAGTGTTGATACAACTCATATGCTTATCTTTGGAAGTGTTGATATAGCTAATATGCATATCTGTTAAAATGTAGATACAGCTTGTATGCTTATCTGTTGAGATGTTGATACAACTAGTATGTTTATCTATTGTAAAATGAGAAATGTTTAATATCAGTCACTGTCTCATATAAGTGGTTGGCCAGATTCTGAACCGTTGATGTAAATTGTGAAATTGATAAGAAATGGAAATTGAAATGAAACATAAACATAGTGGTCATGAAATAGAAATGGGTTATGAATCGGTTCATGGAAATTGAACATTTATCAATTGCTAATGTCTTAGTCATTGCTCATACTGTGTTTAGCATATCTTTACTGGGCATTGGCTCACCCTTTATGGGACATTATTTTCAGGTACAGGTAGTATGCCACCTCCAAGGACATAGCTTGGATGATGATGAGAGTTGAAGACTCTTTTTGTTTATTTTGTTTGTATTACATGTATATCAAGCCAAGGGCTATTTTGTATAGAGTTAGTACTCTTCTTTTGTGTAACCAGGTGTTGACTTGGAAAGCTGTAAGCCCATAAGGCATTTGCTTTTGTTGTTAACATGTAATACAATTGTAAGAATTACTCTGATGAATAGAAATGGTTGGTTTCTTTTATATCAATGCATGTCTAAAGTGATAGGTTTTAAGTATTTTTTTGAGGGCGTTACAACTTGGTATCAGAGCGTACCGGGTTCGAATACTTTGGATGTGTAGGAAGTTATTAGGATCACAATGGGTTTGTCTCGCTTGATAGAGACTTGGATGTAGTGTCATATGCTATGTGCTTAATTGATAACATGCTTATGTGACTATGTGGGTATGGAATGTAGTTTCTAGGATGTTGATTGGATCCTTGGATTTCTGGGAGTCTTGTTGGAAAAGCACTTGATCAATACTGTTTCTAACAGAAACTCTAGTAACGCCTCGGGACTATCATTATCCGGAAACGAAATTCGTAAGTGCTTATATGTTTATGTGTTTACGTGGAATGAATTACAGTTGTCCATGTATTAGGATGCGAGTGTTTAGTTTTGGCACATTTATGAATGTGCTAACGTTCTTCGTTACCTTTATTAGGATGTCAGGATGAGGACGTGGTAGGCAGGAGATGCCTTTACTAGATGATATTCCGGCACAGCAGGAGGGGGTGAGCCAGGCCAATGTGGCCGAGCCAGCAGGTCAGGAGGCTATGGGCGCTTTAGCCCGATGGATAGCCGATGCTTTAAGGGAGTCTGTGGGTATTTTCTGAGCTGAGAATCCAGTTCAGGCTCCAGTTCAGGCCCAGGTTGTTGAGGCAGGGCCTTCCTTCTTGAAGAGGGAATTCTTCCGGTTCAATCCGGACGAGTTTGTTGGGGATCCGAAGGAGCCACTTAAGGCTGACGAGTGGTTAGAACAGATGGAGAAGACGTTCAAGATGCTTGGCATCGAGGACGGGGCTTTAAAGGTGACCTTGGCATCCTTCTAGCTGAAGGGAGATGCGGGTCAATGGTGGAAGTACGAAAAGGGCAATGTTGGTGGTTCATAGGAGGCGTTTGTGAATGCTTTTCAGGAGAAGTTTTTATCTTCAGTCGCTAGGGAGAAGCTGAGGGAGCAGTTTTGCCAGTTTAGACAGCAGGGCTTGTCAGTGGCCGAGTTTGAGGCTACTTTTACTAGTTTGTCCAGGTTTGCACCTGAACTGGTGGCATCCGAGGAACGCCGTTGTTTTGAGTTTGAGCGGAAGTTGAGGCGTGGACTCAAATTGAGGGTTGGAGGGTCCTTTATCCGAGAGTACAGACGTTTGGTTGATGCTACAGCTCATATGGAGATTATGATGCAGGAGGAGGATGAAGGGCAGAGAGGCTCCAAGAGGAGCCAAGATGGTCAGGGTGATGGCAGGAGACAGAGGGGTTCTAACCCTCAGCAGTCTTAGAGTGGTTTGGCTAGATCGACCTTTCCAGTGCCGGGGTGCGGGCTCTGGGAGAGGTAGTCAGGGAGGCTTGACTTGTTTTGCGTGTGGCCAGCTGGGTCACAAGTCTTCGGTTTGCCCGCAGAAGGGAGGGGGTCAGCGAGCTGCTTCCTCTTCAGCTAGACCTCAGGGCCAGAGTCAAGGCAGGGGCCAGCCTTTGTCTTGCTATCAGTGTGGTCAGCCTGGGCACCTGAAGAGGTATTGCCCACAGTTGAGTGCTACTTCGAGAGCGTCTGGTTTTAGGCAGACGCAGAGTTATCAGCCAGCTCAGTCTGTGCAGGCCTCGAGGGCCAATCCGGGAGCTTCGTCATCCCAGTTAGTGCAGCAGTCTTTTGCTCCTAGAGGTGAGCAGGTAGATTAGGGGCCTACAGGGTGGTGTATGCTGTTACCGTGCAGGATCTTGTACCTGCTCCGTCAGTTGTGAGAGGTACCTTCTTGTTTTGTAACTCGGTTGCTAGTGTATTGATTGATACGGGTGCATCTCATTCTTTTGTATCTGTTGCATTTGCATCTGTTTTGGAATTGGAGTTGGCACAGTTAACATCTCCTATATGTGTAGTATCGCCTGTTGGTGGTGAGTTGATCTTGAAACAAGGTGTTAGAGGTTGTGATATAGAGGTCGCCGACCATAGGCTTCCTTTTCCTTTTGTTGTCATGCCCATGAAGGGTTTTGATGTTATTTTGGGTATGGACTGGCTATCGTCATACCGGGCTGTTATTGATTGCTACCGCCAGAGGGTCACGGTTTGTACCTTGAGCGGGGAGTGTTTCCATTTCTTGGGGGATCGAGTTGGTAATGTGTTGTCACCGATGTATGATCCGCGAGGGCGAAATAAGCTTAGTGGTCTACTTGTTAGCTTTATGAGTGGTGAGTGTGATGAGACTCAGATTATATTGCCAAGGGTGGTTTGTGAGTATTCGGATGTTTTTCCCGAGGATCTCGTTAGTTTACCACCCCACCGAGAGATAGAGTTCTCTATTGATTTAGTGCCCGGCACAGCGCCAATTTCTATGGCACCTTATCGTTTTGCCCCAGCCTAGTTGAGTGAGTTGAAGATTTAGCTCTAGGAATTGCTAGATAAGGGTTTTGTTCGCCCTAGTGTTTCGCCGTGGGGAGCACCAGCCCTCTTTGCTAAAAAGAAAGATGGTGCCTTGAGATTGTGTATAGACTACCGGAAGTTGAATCGGGCTGCGGTCAAGAATAAGTACCCTATGCCCCGTATAGATGATTTGTTTGACTAGTTGAAGGGTTCCCATTGTTTCTCTAAGATAGACTTGAGATCGGGTTACCACAGTTGAGGGTCACGGAGGTGGATATTCCTAAGACGGCATTTCGTACGCGGTATGGCCATTATGAGTTTCTGATGATGCCATTTGGGCTTACCAATGCCCCGGCAGTCTT